CATTTATTTTGCAAAAATAACAGGAGCTAATTTAGGGTCTATATGGCAGAATTGCCTAATTGAAGAATGCTTGCCATCGAGGGGGCTCTCTCGGTCTATCGGCGAGGATTAAAGAACTGCATAAAAATAGTAAATGATTACAGTATTTATAATATGAAATTGGATATAAAGTAGTGAAATCATTAAAAGAAAAATCTATAAATACAGTTACATGAAATTCGACTGCTAAAAAGATTAAATGGAATTAAACTATACAGGAGGGTGCTAACTGTATTTATACAATGTTATACACAGGAACGCACATCACGTTAGACACAGAACGCGCATCGCGTATGAAACAAAATGGCTTCTAAATTCTCAATGTCGCAACTCTTTCTATCTATGGCTCTGGATACGAATTAACTAAAGCGCCCCCACCGTTTAATAACGCGTTGAGGAGTTACGGAACGTCAACAAACAATTATGTAAACTCACGTGTGATAGACAAAAGCTATCTTGCATAAAATGACTGTATTAAAACAGCCAATGAAAACACAATTAGAGAAGAAAATAAGGCAAAATCATGAATATTCATGAAAAAGTGTACCGGAAGAAGGTTGCAAGATGTTGTCGACAGTTGTTCACGTGGAATTTCGAGGCGGGCATTTAATCGAAGTTGTGGCAAATTTCAGACCTGCGTCGGTTAATTTCTTCAATTAAACGCAACTAAAAAGTAAGTAAAATTTGTTTTTCTATATCTTTGTAAAATCTATTACTCATCAAAATACTTGAGTAACAGTTGATAACTCAGTTATTCGTAAGTGTTGTGGCAGTTGAGATATCAAGAGGTGATGGTGAAAAAAATGAACTAGGGGCCTATCTATTAGCGTAGGTAGGGTATGAATGCCATATTCTGGCCCACGGCCTATGCGTAGATTTGCTAAGCTTCGTTTGAAATGCTAGGCCTACTGTATACAGCCACCCCCGTGTATTGCGGGGGTTTGTGTATATAGCGGTGTTTAGGCTCGGTCCTAGGCCTGGGGCCTAAGCCCAGCCCATGTGTTTTTCTTGTTTTGACCATCTTTTGGTCAACTGAAACTGAAACTTGTTTTGTCTTATTACTTTATAATGTATTGGAATGTACTAATATATCCTTCTAGGCCTAGCCTATGGTAGGCCTGTGTACTGTCTGTGAGCCTAGAGGTTGTTAATTTTGCTAGTAATCATAAGCCCAGGAGTTTTATTAATAATTAAAAAAAATAATAATTTATATAAATATGATAATAATAATAATATTAATAATAATAAAAATAATAGTAATAATAGTAATAATAATAATAATACGATAATAATAATAATAGTAACAAAAATAATTGGTTGTTACTGTAATTTTGCTAATCATAGGCCCAGGAGTTTTTAAATAATAATAATAATAATAATAATAATAATAATAATAATAATAATAATAATGATAATAATAATAATACGGTAATACTGTAGTGTAATAACAAAAATAATACTGTACTATAAATTCTGCATATAGGCCTGGTGTTTTTAGTTATACAGTTTTTATCGGTTGACTGGCACACACAGTGTACTATAAATAGGTGTAGCAATCATTATTCTATATCATACAGTAGTATAAATATAATTTTGACTTTTTTCAGGTACATGTATCTTGATGGTATTAACTAAATATGTTGACTAAAGACCCATTCTACAAGCATTCAACATGCACAGCTTCTTAAGATCAGGGATATTATAGTCAAGCAGGTAGGCCTACCATTGTTGTTCAACATGATGGCGGAAAGAGGAGTGATTGCTATACACTGTACTGTATTTCAATTTACAATGTTTCGTTTACATGATTTAATAAAATGGAGCCTAAAATTAAAAAACAAAACAAAAAATCATACAATGTGGCTTTCATTAGCCAGTCAAATAAGATAATTTTATTGGGCCAAACTAAACACATTCATCCACTGAACTGCCTGACTTTATTTTCTTATTACAAAGTGTAAATAAGTCCTTCCTGAATGGAGACAATTACACCTTTAAAGAATGTTATAAAAATGTTTACCAATAACTTCTATAAAATTCAGGACTGGGGCTAGTTTTAAATAATTGTTTTGTATGACAAGAATAAAAATAAATTTACTCCCAATATTGTTGTTACATCTTATCTGGTTAATCAACTGTCACACCACACGGTTTATAAGACTCATCTCCTTATTTACTTACATATTATTTTTTACATTGTATATTTCACATTTATACGGAGGCGACCAAGCACAAACCCTTTAAACGACCAAGGCGACGCCATACAAAGCTAAAACAAACATCACTAGTCAACCTGAAGAAGTGAAGGGTGCATTCATGAAATGTATGTGAGTAAAAATTACAACTCTTTCTTTATTGTCATCAACAAAAACAAATTATATATCATAAATATTGATTTGGATCCAGTTGAATTTATTGACTCCCGATTTTTTTTATGAGACAGAAAAAACTCCTCTTGTCCAAAACAATCATGAAGGGATTGCCCGGATGTTGGTTTCAAGGGGAGCAGACCTCACATGCTCTCTCACTAACTCCTATTGATATTCACCTGGGCCATTGTAAAGGTAATAATTTTACTAAATAAAAATGTTATTATCTCAAAATCGGATTTCAAACCATTGCCTGGTTTGGTTTGACCGCGCCACATATATTCCTATACATAATTATACCCCATAAACCATAGGCCTAACAACATTAAGTCACAGTTAACCTGTTTAATCCCCAACTGAACTGCATTGGGCACAACAATTAATTTGTCAGTATGATACATTTGTACACATGCTGGTAATTTCTTGTAATACTGTTGTTGTAACCATACTATTTTTACTTTTTATATAGGATTTTAATTCATACTCTAATATGTTCCCTTAATTGTAAGGCTTTATTCTATTCATACTGCAGAACTTCCATCCAATATAAAGCTCAATATTTTTTTAAAAATGGATACTATTATTGCATCAATAATAATGTTGAAAACATATAAAATTATTGTTGTTTTAAGTACATTTCTGCTGATTTCATAATATAAAATGATTTGCATTGCAAAATATTTCTATAAATTACAATATGGTAGTTTTAATTGTGCTGTAAATGATTCTTAAGAAAATAAAAATAAATAAGGTGTCCCCTTAATAGGGATTTTACTGTTAGACCGTCTTCTAATTTTGAATATAATTTTATTTTGTTTGTGATACTGGACACTGGACAAGAAATGGCAAAAACGCTTTGTACAGTAGCATGCTGGATGTCAACAAGCCATCTGCAGCTGCTTTCAATTAACAGTAAGTCTTGATTTGTATTGTCTCAAAAGCAGTAAATTCAAACTTTCAAATATATACAGTACATTTTCTACACAGCAGGCTCACATATTGAACAAAACACAGTCTTTAAGCTATCATTAGCCAAATGCAACATAAAAGCTGAATTTGACTAAATATGTTTTTTTCCAAAATTAGCTACAGTATTTATTTTCATACTGAATTAGCCCTAATTGCTAAATTATGTTTTTGGCTAGCTTAAACTCTGAATACACTTTAATTGAAATACTTTACTTCAATGATTAAACAAGTGAAGTAGCTGGAAAGGGATCATCCATAGTTTCAAAATTTCTACAAGAGTAGAAAACATATTCTTCTCTGTGAACTCCCTCAATTAAATGATTATTGTGAATTTGATAATATTGTTTGATCTCTTTTATAAAAGAATACAGTACAGTATATGACTATACTGTAAACCCCCCCCCCCCTTCCCATTGTGAAAATAAGAAACATTATGGATGGTTTCAAGTTCCAGTTGAGTAGAGCCTAAACTTGTTTTAAGAACCTATGATGTTTACAGTACATCAAGTCACATTTTCATGAATGATTTAATCCAATTACACTGTGTAGATCCAACCCTAACTCCTCATGTGTTTTAACCAGCCTCTCATTGCTAAATTTATTCTTCTGATTTCCGAAATTTCTTTATCTGTACTTCTTGTTGAATTTCAGGCGATGTGAAAGTTAAATGTGCCTTCATAATGGACATTAGCTGTTCCAGGTTAGTTTTCATCCCATACACAGCCCTTTTCCGTCTATTGAACTCGGCGTGTATCAGTTCGCCACCTTGTTCTGCCAGTAATCCGATTCCTACCTTCCATTCCCGCATAAACGGTATTGCGTGATGTTCAAGCATATGGAGTTTGGGTTGAACAACTCCAGGGGCAATTCTCCTGTACTCTCTGGAGAATATCTTTATAGAATTTTCTGTATTGGAAAAAAAATATGTTTACTGTAAACTATATTTGTTGCACTAAATTTTATTCTATTATTTTTTTTTAAATCTAATTTAATGGTACCTTTAGGACTAAATTGTAACTTACCATATGCATCTATTTCTGAATCATCAATGCATCTTGTATGATTTATGCAGGCATGTACATCACTAAACAACTTAAACACAGGAGTAAAGGATTCTCTTATCTTTTTCAATTTGATCTCCAAAAGTTTCTTGTGGCTAGCAGGGCATTGATGCATCTGCTGCTTTAGTGTAATTTCTACACTATCCATAAGCTTGTCTATGATATTAAACTAAAAAAAAAAAGAATAGTTCTTGTCATAGAGATACAGACTACTTGGATAAGCTGTACACATGCAAGGTTATCTTTCTTGTCAGCAGCTATTTGGTGTTTGAAGTTTCCACTTAAGTTGTCGGTGTCAAGTTGGTTTTGTGGCTTTTGATGTCATTTTTGATTTTGAAAAAAAAAAAAATTTTAGTTACATACTTTACATGAGCGATACACATGTTTGCCGACAAAGCTCTTTCCATGATACGCTTGCCTTGGAATTTTGCTTTTTCTAAGAACTTCATCCATTTGTGTGCATAAAGGCCCACTTCCATATTTTAAATCCTTGTTCATAGCAGTTTGCTATAAGACAAAATTGCAATACTCATGATCATTTACAAATTTTCTATTAAATAATTTTTTACATTTATAGTAATATTAAATTCAATTAGCTTACCAAGTCATTAAATTCCTGTTCTTTCAGGTTTATCTGGTGCCCAAGCTTGGAAATTTTATCAGCATCATCATGCTTTACAAGAAACTGAGAGAGTGCATCTCGTAATTCATCTAGTTCCTCATTTATAGAACTGATTTTCTCGGCACAAGCACTACGATTTGCTGCTGATTCTACGATTTTTTTTTCAAAATCTGCCAGATGCTCGCCTAAAGATAATGGATTATTTATTGTTAGTGGAATAACAATACTTTCAATTCAGTCAAAATATGGTGATATGAGTGATAATTTGTAATTTGAACAAATCAAGGACTTTTACCAATTGGGATAGAAGCATCCTCCTGTCTCATATTAAAGATTATCAGGTCTACATTGTGCATGTCTTTCTCCAGCATGTCGTACATCTTTTTGAAAAGACCAAGTGATATATGAAGTGCTGGTATTGACACCTGGAATATATACATTTGTACAAGTAGTTCAGGAAAAATATAATGGAGAATGAAGGTATGAATATTACAGTAGTACTAATATAGTTTGTTTTGACAAACTTTCAAACTGACACTTATTGCTCTAACAATGTTTGCATTATAGTATTGTTTAGATTTTCATTCAACTAATATACCTACCCTGTTTAACTCAATATCTACCATATAAGGCCTGATTACACTGTGGGACACAAGTTTACTTTTTTTGGGGTCACTGCCATGATCAACAAAGCACTTATAATCTTTGTTATAAGAAGTAAGGCATCTTTCGCCTGATGGCTTTTCATTTGTCCTGATATCATCTTGGTTCGAGTAACAATAAATGTAACTGTACTTTCCTGAAAAAAAATTAATTAGATACAAACAAATTAATAAAAATAACTCATCGGAAGACCAAAATCACAAAAACTTCCATGATTTGATGGTGTATTTATTATTTCCAATTATTAAAAGTTACTATCTAAATCCTTGAAACATTTAAAAATAAAACACAAAATGTAAACAACAACATTAAGAATTTTTATTTACCATTTGGTCCCACAAGTCCATAAATTCGACAAAGAAAGTCGTAATCGCTGAAAAAAAACAGGCGGATGTTGTGAGTTCTGCAATCAATCAGATATTTTATCATATAAAATAAAAATTACAGTACAGTACAGTATTTATTTTCTACCAATCATTTTATTGTGAGATACATTAGGCCTCTTTTCAAGGTTTTACAGTATTCAAATAGTAATATTACATACAGTATCCCAATACTGTACTACTGTAGACAGTTGTATCTATTTAAACCATTGTAGTACAGTACATGTACAGCACTGTACTGTATGTCTGGTGGATAATACAACTTTATAACTTACTGTTGTGTTGTTGGGGATGTCCACTGACTTCCATCCAAGTCCATAATACCATCAATAATGAGATTCAGTCCTTTTTCGATGTTAATTGTGAGGTCTGGAGCCTCAAACACAAGGACTACAATGATGTTGTAGAGGGCATTGGGTTTAGCTAAACAGCAAAGTTGAAGTTCAAACTTGGTTGAATTGCCGCCTTTGTCCCCACCAAATTTTAAAAGAATGTCACCATTGTGGAAATTCAACTGTTCTTCTGACCTACAAAAAATATAGTGAGGGTTTGGCATAATATTCTATACAGTACTAAGAGTTACATGTACACTTGTTTTTATACTGGATTCATTTTGAGTATGTTTCTCTTGATATAAAAGTTGTTTTTACAATAATGTAGTACATGACACTAGATTATTATCAATTAATAAATGTAAATAAATAAAATTATGTAAATAATAAAACTGTTTAACATACTTGTCATATTGATTTAAGTAGTCATATAACAGCTGCTTGATCTTGGTTATTCTGACTACTGGCACTTCTTCCAGGACTAAGCCTCCAATGGATGTCGCCCCTTCCCGTTTTACAAACATGTACTCCATTGATTTCATTAAGTAGTCGCCAACAATCTTTTCTTGTAGGGACCTCATTTGCCTTTCCGATGCAAAGAAACCTGGGCAGAATCTGAAATTATATATTAAAATGTAGCAAGAGAATATTGTGAATTCCATAACAACAAGTTACTGTACCTAACTGTATTATTACCTGAGTTACTGACAAATTGTTGTTTTTCTAACTATTATAATTATTGTAATAATATGTTTCTTAATTAATTTCTTAATACTTTTATTTTATGTTAATTTCTTTGTACTGTATTAAAATTGAATGAAACAAACTTTATATTATGTTACACTATATTGAATTGTTTTATTTACTTGGGATTTATTAGATGATAATGCATTATCAATAAGTATTATTTTACCTCCGTAATGCTCGTTGCTGACTCCAATTAATTTTGCAAGCATTCATTACGCCTAGGCATCTCTTTGCATCCATTTTCTGCTCTTTAATATCGGAAATCGCCTTTACTGTTTCAGTTTTTGATTCTGTAACCATCTTTAGTGGCTGGATTTGGTAGAGCAATTTTAGAATATTTATGTAATGGATTGATCAAATTTTATACATAGTGAAAACCAAAAAAAAACAAAAAACAAAAAACAAAAAAAAAAACAACATGTAAATCCACAATAAATTGTCAAAGTTAAGTAATATTATTTTTGATAAATATACAGTAATTAATATTAAAATAGAAGTAAGCTGATTTGAATCTTACCCGTCCATGAGTTTTTATTGACAACTTTCCATTAGATACCTGGGTTTCTCTGTGTACTAATTTATGAGCTAAATCTGTGAGTTCAGTTGGACATATGTGGTTTTCCGCCCTGGCCTCTTCAATTTCCTGAACAGCGTTTGGGATTTTGAAGAAGGCTTGTTCCTTGTTACTTTTACAAATATGGTTAATTGTTCCATTTAATACGAGTTGCTCTTTACATTTGCGACACTGAAGTGGAACCATTGTTAATGTATGCTCAATTATTTGAGGAATTTTGTTCAGATCTTTCTGGCTAAAATTGTAACTACAGCAAAAGCATTGGATTGATGACTTGCGAATTGCTTTGAATAGTTTATTTATGCAAAAAACACAAAAAAAATGATCACATGGTGTCTTCACACTATCCAATGACAGAAGTTTATTGCAAATGTTGCATTGATACTCTTCATCTGCTTTGTGCACAATTTGAAACTGTTGGTTAACCGTAGCCAAAGCAGAGAATGTTTCAAAAGTGCCACTTTCACTTCTTGGATTAGAGTTAATCATAAACTTCTTTGGTCTGGGACCTGGTCTTAATTGATTTGTATACAAGTAACATGTTAAACAGAACTCTTTGTGTGCTGTAAACTCAAAAGGGGTAATCTTATGCTCTTTGCAATAACGAGAATGACATGTGGAGCATAGTGACTTTGGATTGTTTTTATTATTAATATCATAAGATGCAGGCCTGTTGTTCATCCAAATTGTATTTCTCATCGTTCACCTTGATTTTTTTTCCACAGCAGAAACAAAGAAATGATAACGCCTTTTCGTGAAACTCCATTCTGCAGAAAAAAAAAAAAAAAAGAATGATTGCGACTATACAGTATATATCTGTGTATAATAAATAATATATGTATCTACATGAATGTCTTTATTTGACACAATACAACACTGATTTCTGTAGGCTAGGTTTGATACAACTAATTTTTGACTGAATACTGTAGACTACAGTAACAGTGTTTAAGTTATCATTAGCCAAATGCTAATAAAAGCTGAATTTTGCTAAATATTTTAATTCAAAATTAATTAGCCAAAAGCTAATGGAATAATTATTATTCCTAGGCCTAGTAGCCTATGGCTATTTAATTTTTGGCTTATCACTTCTATTTTCATAGCAAATTACAAATTGCTAAATACTGTTTTTGGCTAGCCTATTAAACCTACTATAATGGGCCTTTGTTTAAATAAATAAATAAATAAATAACTTAACTAAAAATAACTAGGCCTAGGCTAAAACCTAGGCCTAGGGAGGACCGTGCATTGACGCCCCATTCAGCGCGTTCATCCATACGCCTATCGTTATCGTAGCCTACCGATAAGCCGATCGTATCGAAAAAGGCAGGATACATTACGGAAAATTATTCATTGTTTTTTCCATCACAATAAAACTAGGACCAATGTAATCTTATAATATTGATGTATTTTGTAGTAATTATTGTATAACTCGAATAATATTTATGTAAACAAAACAAGTGAAAATCTATGGATGATTTTTTAGCTTACGTTTGTTTACTATTTTGTGGCGCTGTTGATTGTGTAGTTTTTTCTACTTCCGCATTCACTCCTGGTGATTTATTTCAATAAATTAGACTTTATGATAATTTATTTACAATTTTACCGTAATTCCTCCGTTGAATAGTAGGTTATTAATAAAATGTATGTAAATTTGAATCACAAGGGCGATGCATGATATCATAATCTTAAGGAAACTTCGACTATATGCTGCTTCCAAAATTCGCCGTTTTCCAGAGATAGCGCAAAAAAAATCAAAGCTCGCGCGGTCTTGCCAATCCCTGATGAGCGTCGTCTGCTAACACTGAGGGCGCTGGACTTTTTCTAAATTTTATACGTAGACTGGAACAGCTGTGGCCGTGGCATTCATTTTCTCAATAATGCTGGCCAGCGCCTCGGGGGATAGACACGAGTACTTGCTGTCTGTGTGCATACACTTTCCAGATGCTGAATCTTCTTTTCTGGAAGACTTAACGTCATCTCTCCGGAATATATTATGTGCATGCCCTAAATATCGTATTCGCCGACCTGAAACCAGTTGACACTTCTCCAACTTCACTAACAATTCTAAGTTCTCCAAGAGCCCCAGAACGTATTATTTCCGGGCTAAACACTCGTCCTGCGTCCTGGCCACTAAAAATATATCGTCCAAATATATATATTTCATTGCCCGTTGTCG